CCGCCGATTCAGCCTCACTCGTTCTCTCTCCCCTCCTCTCCCACTCACTCTCTCCCCTCCTCTCCTCTCCCACTTACTCTGTCCTCTCCTCCTCCTGTCTCACTCCTTCCCCTCCTCTTCTCCTCTCCCCCATTCTCTTCCCTCTCGCCCCCCTTGTTCCCCTGTTTCCCTTCTCCTCATCTCCTCCTGACACTGCACTGCAGCTGCTCCTCCAGCCCAGTCCTGCCCGCTTCCCTCCCTCCTTTCCCTTCCCTCCCCCCGGGTGCCAGATAAACAAGGCGCGCAGCATCCTCGACAGTCCCGATCTTAGCTCTACATTTTCGAAAAGGACAAGAGAACGGGACGAGCCCCCTCCCCTCCTCCTCCTCCCCCTTCCTTCTTCTCCTCCTCCTCCTCCTCCTCCCCCCTTCCCTCCCTGCCCCCCCCACCACAGAAGGGAAGAGACAATTCTCCTCCGAGCAGCAGCAAACATGATGGCGGCAGCTCCCATCCAGCAAAACGGGACCCACACCGGGGTTCCCATAGACCTGGACCCGCCGGACTCCCGGAAAAGACCGCTGGAAGCCCCCCCTGAAGCCGGCAGCACCAAAAGGACCAACACGGGCGGTGGGTACATCCTCTGTCACCTCCCTCCCCCCCCCCCAACCCACCCACCTCTCCGCTTTCCTACCTACCTGCCCGCCCGCCTATCCTTCCCCCCCCCTCGAAAAGATTCCCATTTCTCTAATGTTATCATTCATCAAAATGGCGTCGGTTTTCAGCATCTACCAGTCTTTTTATTTAATATCCACGCTGGGGCTGCACAGCCGTGACCCTACGGAGGCGAGGAGGGAGCACAAGGGACTCCCGCAGCACAGCTATCTCCCTCGCCCCTTTAACGATGGGCGAAAATAAAGGGCAGCTGGAGGGAGACGGTAAACGCTCTTCCCTCCTTCCACATCCTCGGGGTCGCAAGTTGAATTTCAGCCTTGTCGTGCGTTTTCCTCCTCCTTGGCCTCACTTCCATTGTCAGCGCGTACACGGCGTGTGTTTGCAGTGCCGAGCCGGGGGCGAGGGCTGGCTGGTGGCAGGGGGAGTCGCCCCTCGGCTGCGGGGACTCGCTAGTTAACATCCTGCTCTTCCTGGAGGAGATGAGTTATAACGGGACCAGCATCTCCTTTATCCGTTTGCACTGGAGTCGTCATAACAATGCACAGAGGCAGAGGTGAATTTATTTGCCCCATGTTGAGAGCAGCGCTCCGACTGTACATAATGCATGGTTCCCCAGCTGTGGTAATACGGGTGGGCACCACTGTCACACACAGGCACTTCTTGAGACGCTTATAGTCTCAGAGAAGTAAGGTGAACTGAGATCGTTACCTCTGCTTAGGGGTAAAAAAAATCCCCACAGCTTTATGAAACAGGTTTCATGATATTTTAATATCCATGCCAATGGGATCTTGCCTTAATTACTGAGGATAGCCCAAGTCTGGGAAACCGGCGTACCCTTATTGCCTTGTACTTCTTCAGAACCAGTTACAGAAAGGTCCTCAGACTTCAGTGTAGCTGGATTTAGCAGTGTGGTGAGGGCACTGACAATTGTGCAGTTTCCAAATCAGACTGGGAATCCTTTTTTCTTTCTCCCCTCCATTCATTCTCTATATTTTTTTCCTGTTTCGATTGTGTGCTTTAACGCTAGTGGTGGGTAGGGGACTGGCATTGTCTATGTTGTCACCTTTTAAGTGTATTTAAAATAAGTGACTTAGGATTTTGATCAATTGGGAAAAATTCTTCTTAGTATCCTTTAATTAATGAGCTTAAAAGAGATCATTGTCGCTTAAGAAGTGCTAAAGGAATACATCAGGATTACTTAGGCAAGTGATTCCATCCGCACCATGTTGAGTTGTTTTCTTGGCAGTGGCTGAAATGCTTGGAATAAAACCCCACATTTTGGGTGGGTTATTTGGTAGCAGAGTAGTCGTTTTGCTCACTTAAGAAGAATGCAGGCAATAGCTAATTGCTGTTCTCATGTGTTTGCTAATGACAAACAAATAGCTCATTAGAATTTACAATTCGTTCCTTTTTGGTTTTGTCATTTCTTTTGCAGCATTTTCAAGGAAGGTTGTAGTTGTCAGTAGCCACGTTCTCGTGCAGGGCTTTATTTTTTTTTAAGGGGTCTGATCTTTTCTGCATGCTGTGGTTACCATTGGAAAAAATCAATCTTTGAAATATAATTTGAATTTTATTCTCATTCTTTTACTGAATTTAGGAACCGATGTGTGTTCTTTATTTTGCTTAGAATAAATGTAGATATTTTAAAATGTCAAAGGCACAGTCTAAACATGTCTTGTAGAATGACGCAACTGGTTAGATGTAAATGCATGAATTAGTGGAGGAGTTTAAAGATGTAACCTTTTGTTTATTTGTGGGTCTGGGGAGAAAAAATGAGAATTTATAAGCCATATTAACCATGCATATCTCAATTTTTCAGAGGATGGCCAGTATTTTCTAAAGGTCCTCATACCTAGTTATGCTGCTGGATCTATAATTGGGAAGGGAGGACAGACAATTGTTCAGTTGCAGAAAGAGACTGGGGCCACCATCAAGTTGTCTAAATCCAAAGATTTTTACCCAGGTAGGTGAAAAATTAGCCAATTCTTTATTTTCAAGTCCCAAGGGACATACGTACATGTCAGTGTGTTTCATATATTGACAACTAAGCTTCCAGTGCAGCAGGAAGCATTATGTCTCACAAAAGTATGTTATGAAGTGCAACAGTGAATATAAATGTTCTGTCTGTTTTGGTGTATGGAATGGACCGTGCTGGGCACTAACTGCTTGAAACAAGTTTAAAGATGTTTACAATGTTTCTGTGAAAGATTATTTTAATTAACAGCGATTGCTTTATTTTTTATTTAAAAAAAAAAAATCTAGCTTTAAGGAACCACTGTGACAGGTGGTGTAAAAATAATTGTTCGTTTGAAGTTTCCAGACATTAGAATGACAATTAAGCTAGAATGAGTAAAAATAAGAGGCCGCTTAGTAAAGAATGGGCCATTTACTTTAAATCCATTATGTACCTTCTTTCTTCTTCACTGCTTTGTTCACTGGGTCTGGAGTGAAGTAAAGAGGACAAGTGCTGCTCTTTAGATATTCTGTATATTATGTTTATCGTGGTGGTGGAAGAAAACTCTATTATAAAAGTGAAGTGCTTTAGATGAATAAAGAAATTAGCATTTTATATTAGCTGTATTAATGCACAAGAAAGGAGTTTTTTTAGTATTTGAGTATTACAGTAATAAATACCTGAATTGGCATTTCTCCTTTTTTAAAGATTTCTGAAAATGGAGTCTTGATAGACAAGATTTAATTTCTGTAGTTGATTAATCGTTTTTTCCCTAATATGAAAAAATTTGTATTCTTTAATTGAACTTTGTTCTAGCAGACTCTTAAAAAACTGATGCAAAATAGTAATATAGCTGACACTTCTGCATTTTGATTTTGTTGTTTTGAAGAGTAACTGGTGATTTGGAATTGAGTCGAGCTGTTGGAATTGAGTCAGCTGTTACTGACTTTTTTTCTGTTGGAAAAATAAGAGCTGCTTTGCGTTTGATCTACTTTAAAAAGTTGACTGAATTCTGCAAAATAGTGGAGGCAGTTGGTATGGATGTAAACAGAACACTAACACTGGAGCATTTAGCATCCCTGTCCTCTAACTTTAGTGTCAGGTAGAAGTAGATAATATTTTATTAATGAAGAAATTTTGGTCTATTTACAAAGATGATTGTTAATGTGGAAATTTTAATGCACCTGTTGTAGGTCTCCCTAATGAATGTAGTTTGTAATACTTAAACGTCAGAGGTTGAAGTGATGCATGTAGATTTTTTTTTTCCTGTTGTAAGTTACAGCTTATGAAGTGGTGCTTGTTGCCTTTGAGGCCTTGTTTGCTTTTTTAAAAAAAGCTAGGAAAAATGATCCTTTGTTTTGAAAGGTATGTTAGGGTGGAAAAAATCAATGTGGGATTGTGAAAACTCTAGGAAGAAATAAAAGCATTCTAAAGAGCCTGATTGCAGAATTAATAACATAATCTGGATAAAGAGCTGCAATAGTAAATTAAATTCACTGTCAATAGATGAAAATGAAATGGATTTTTTGCATTATACATGAGGGGATATCAGATATGCAAGCATGTTACAGAAAATTGGTGTTTATGAAAAATATTCCAAATACCAAATTACGAGCCTTTTCATTTTACTACAGTTTATTTACACTCACTTGGAAAGGACGCTCCAAAGATTAGATCTTTTGTTCAGTGCTCTAGTATAGTTCTTTTGTTTTCTGATTAAATCAGAGTTACATTTTTTTTTTTTGGTGTGTGTAGGAAATTGTAATAGCAGAAGAACCTTTGAAAAGCAAAAATTAGCAAGCCAGAATAACATGAGGAAAACATTTGTGACATATTTTCCCTTAAAATCAGTAGCAATAATATAAATAACTAGGGCAGGGAGGCTCAAGCATTTTCACGCTAACAGGTGCAAATGAAGTTCCAGTTTGACTTGATACAGTCTGCCTTGAATTTGCAGATATGTTGTGTCATATAGAAAGTGTTTTAAGGAAGTTGGTGATTGATACCTGCTGAAGCATAGAACAGGGATTGGAAATGGATTCCAGCATGGCTAGCTCTTCTTAGTCTTTCTGTTTGCGTCTGACCACCAGCCCATGGAATTTTCGGAGGTCCTGGCATTCCCTGAGCTGATGGCTTTTGGGTTTCTTCCAGACTCTCTTGCTCATATAACATTAGGGAATACAAACCTTGTGAAAGAGCTAAGATGAAGATACAGATTATTTTTCTTACAAAGTTTCTTAAACAATTATTCTGTTTTCCTAATAGGTGTTACTTAGTCCTTATCCCCGCTTGAGATTACAAATGTGTTTAATGTATATTTTGCTATTCAATGTTCTGCTGTTGAAGCTTCCGTGAAACTCTTCTGTATTTCCAAAAAGTTTTAGAAAAGTAAGTTCCTGTTTGGAAAGGAGGAAGTTGGTTATAACACAGAAATTACGAATAGTTCCCATGATCTAATAGTGTTTTTTCTTTCCCTCTGTGATATAGGACTTCAGTATGCAGACTGATTTCTGTTGGAATTATTTTTGTGCGTCAAAAGGTGACATAATTACTGAAGAATTATATGGCAGCTCTAATTACAAGAAATTAAAGGAAAACCAGCTTTGCACTGTACATTTTAGTTTACAAAAGAGGAAGCAGTATAAAAATATATTACTGTCCACTACAGTCTTATTTTTTGAGTACACAATTTATTGTTCTCTTTTCAGGTTACCTGCTGACTTTCACTAATTGTCTGGACTCCTACAATTTGACTTTGCATATTGTGCCTAGATTATCCCTGATTCTTTACTGTTCAGGCTTGTCCCCCAAGATTAGCATAAATGAAATTAAAATGTCAAAATATACCCTACTTTTATACTAAATGGTATTGATCCTTCCTGTAGAGAAGTACAGTGCATATTGACTAGTAGGTTTCGGTCCAAAATTTGAATACAGATTTAGCCAACTGCATAAAGAAAGTGGCTATTCTGTGAAGCTATTTTAATGTATGGTTTTATTTTGAATAATATCGAAAAGATTATTTCTGTTGTATGAAGCTGTCATTGTCTTATCTGTTTCTCCATTCTGCATTATAGTGACCGCCGGACTGAAAACTACTTGGGACATATGTATATTTTCCATTGCGAGCGCTGGCACACACTCTTGCTTTCTTTCTCTCATGCGCGCTCTCACTCTGCGTTCCTGCCCCAGTCTCTCCCCTATGCACACACATGCACAAAATTGTTGCATCGCATCATGTTGTTTATTTTGCAACAGGATCTTGCCTGGTCTGAACTTGGTGCTTGAGTGAATTTGAGCTTGGTCAGTGTTTTTCAATTTATTGGAATATGAAGCCATACTTGTACTGAAATTAGATCATATCAAGAACAGAGATGAATAAAAGCATAATTAAATGGGGATAAGTTTTTACTGCTTTTAACAATATATTAACTGTGTTGTTCTTATAGTAGATTTCTAATCAGTAGTGATATAAATGTTGGAAGAATATAAAAGGTGTGAGTTTCCTCTCCCACCTTATGTAGAGAGTGTGTGAAATGTTGTGTAGCTATGTTGTGCTTGTGACTTGTATTTGAGATGTTTTCTGTTTAAATATCAGATTTTTTTAAAACAGTCATGCGTTATGTGAGATAGTCTAGGTAATCTTTGTGCCCAGTGCCTTTCTGAAAAGTCTCCCATTCTGACTTTTAAAAACCTTTCAAACACACTGAATGTGTAAGTAACAACTTTACAGGAATTTATAATTAATAAGCTTATAGCTTCATTACTCTTATAAACTGCTAGGAAGGAGAAAGGAATCATATATCAAGCTTGGTTTACCATTATTATTTCCTTTATATAATAAAGAGATTGTCAGGTTAATTTATAACTTAAAAATAACAGTCTAGTAGGGAAAAGAATTTTTTAAAAATCAACACTTGAAATAATGTTGAAGTGAAATACTGGTTTTTTTTCGGCTAGGGAAGAGAAAAGAGTAATGGAGTTAGAAGTGAGCATGGCTTTAGTTATTAGCTGTCTGTTGTCATGGTTCCTTGAAGGGGTTTGTCGTATATCAATAAATGCATCTCATTTTTGTTCTTGATGCTTCTATTTCTTTTTTCCAAAGTGTTGACATTAGTTATTTGGAGACTACATAAGTATGTGTCTAAGATTTTCAGATTCTGCTGTAGACATTTACTTATGTGAGTAACTTCAGGGATAATGGCCCTGAGGAAATTACTAAATAGTGAGTAGAGATTTCAGAGGTGGAATCTAGAGCTGTGTAGATTTGTAAAGTAATCACTGATCCTTGTGCTAGTTTAAAAAAAAAAAAAAGAGACCAACCACCAAAAACTCCCATGTGTTGATTGCCAGCTGTTCAGAGAGATAATTCTCAGTTGGACAGTTGTCTGTTGCCTGGTTACTGGAACAGAATAAAAAAAGTTAGCTTGTTAGCCAGCAGATCCTTAGTATTTTACATTTAAAAGGAAGCTGAAATTGAATATGTAACTTGGTAGGATCTTGAGATTGTTACATATCTAACTTGCCCAGTGTACTATTACTTAGCAGTTTCTCATTTGGTAGGCTTAGAGGAATTTTGAGGAGAAGTTCAAGTTGAAATTTTGCACGTACTTTTTTCTCTACATGTAGGGACTTATTCATGTTAATGAGTGAATCAACTTTGACATAGTAAATGGCTTTTGTTTGCAAGGAAACGCTGTGTCTTTGTCTTGTATAGAAAGGTTTATAACAACTTGTGACAGATTTGGAATGGTTAGTCTAACTTTAATAAATGATACGGACTAACTTGGTTGGCAAAATAAAGAAGAGAGTGAGTACAGCTGTTATGATGGAAATGCCATATTTAAGTTTTCAACATTTCATTGTGATGGCTTTTATCTAGGTTAGAATACAATTGAAACCCAAATTATTTTCAGTAGATTAGAAAGTTTATGTAGATGAAGGTGGTTCTATTAACAGTATTTTTTTTTTGGTAAAGTCAGAATTTCTGTAAAACAATTTTTCATTTA